TGCCCATTAGCAGTCACTCATTATTCCTCTATCACAACCACTAATCTCCTTTCTTTTTCTATAAATTAGCCTATTCTGGACATTTCCTATAAATGGAACCAAGCAATATGTGGCCATTAGTGTCTGGTTTCTTTCACTTAGCATACAGCTTTCACTTAGAATATTTCATTCTTTTTGTGTGTGTGTGTGGCCAAGTCATATTCTGTTGTCTTGATAGACTACATTTTGTTTGCCCAGTCATCAGTTGATGGTCATTTAGGTTGTATATACTTTTTGGTGCTTGTGAATAATGTTGCTATAAACATTCATGTATAAGTTTTTGTGTGGATATATGCTTTCAGTTTTCTTGGGTATATAGTAGGAGTAGACTTCTGGGTCATATTATAACTCCAGCTTTAACTTTTTGAGGAACTGCCAAACTTTTCAAAGGACTTGCATCATTTTACATTTCCACCAGCAGTGAATAAGGGTTTCAACTCTCCACATTCTTGACAATACTTGTTATTGTCTGTCTTTTTTATTATTGCCATTCTAGTGGGTGCAGCATGGTATCTCAATGTGGTTTTGATTTGGATTTCCCCAATGACTAACGATGTTGAGCTTTATTTCATAGGATTTTAAATTTCATCCCCCCAACTTTACTGCAGCCAACTCAAACTTTCAACAATGTTTGACAACTGTGTTTGACAATGTTGATGATACCCTCTTTGAAATTACTTGTCTGTTTGCATCACCCACTGGAATGTAAGCCCCATGGGGACAGGAGCTTCGCCTTGTTCATCACTGTATCTCTGGTTTGTAGAATAGGATCTAGCAATAGATATTTTTGAATGAATGAATGTTATGTTTTATAAAAATATACACAAATGTTATGTGAGTAAAAACTGGAGACTCCATAACCAAATAAGTTTCTGGAATGTTGAATTAGACAAACTTTTTTTTTTTTTGAGTTGGAGTCTCACTCTGTCACCCAGACTGGAATGCAGTGGCCATTCCGGCCACCGCAGCCTCGACCTGCTGGGCTCCGGCGATCCTTCTGCCTCATCCTTCCAAGTAGCTGGAACTACAGGCATGCGCTACCATGCCCGGCTAACTTTTTTTTTTTTTTTTATTGTAGAGACAAGGTCTCACCAAGTTGCCCAGGCGGGTCTCAAACCCGTGGGCTCAGGCAATCCACTCACCTCAGCCTACCAAAGCGCTGGGATTACAGGCTGAGCCACCGAGTCCGGCTGAATTAGACAAACTTAAACAAAAATCTTTTGTGTGGGACTGCTCAGATACTTTATTGTGCTACTGAGTATTGTGAAATTTTATTTGACTATGAAAACTTTCATGGTATGAAATATGTCACAGAACTTTTAAAAATACTTATCTAACTCAAGCAGCTAAATTGCAACTCCTAGCAAAATTGTAGAGTGCTTTATTAAATAGATGTTTTGTTAGCACTCAGTAAAGCAAGTTGTGATCACCACAGCTTAATATAAAATCACTAAGAACAGATTATGTCAAATTATCCCCTGCTTTTCTATTCATAGGATTTTTAATCAGAATGCCGTTATGTTGGAAGGCCATGGTGATGGATTTCTTCACAACAGTGAGATTTTGAGCTGGTTTTATCATGATTTCCCTGTTCTGAGAAGTTTCCTGTTTTGTCAGGATCCTGTGATCAGTCTGTCACTTAAGTCTTTATGTCAAGAATATCAGGCTGAGTTGAGATCTATACCCTTGGGAAAAATCACCTGTACAGTGAGCTATTTACGGTCTTTATTGTTAGAGTAAATATCAAGTGGTTACCAGTGGTCAAGAGTAGCTTTTCTAGAACTTGGTGGTAACATAGCCTATAGAGGTAGCCCTGAACACTAGCAAAGTTAAGGAGAGCAAAGTTAAGGAGGCAGGGGATAGGCCTGTAGCCAGGAGGTTGCCCTAATGTAGGTTCATAGCCAACTATATGTTAGTAGTGGGTAGTAACAGGTATGTCCCTAAGGATATGGCAAGGCAGGTGGTCAGAGTACAGGAAACTAGGGAAGCATTCAGAAAGAGGTCTCCACATGTTGTGTGTGATGGTTCACACCTACAATCCCAGCTACTTGGGAGGCTGAGGTGGGAAGATCGTTTAAGCCTAGAAGTTCGAGGCTGCGGTGAACTATAATTGCCCCACTGTACTCTAGCCTGGGAGACAGAGCATGACCCCATCTCTAAGAAAAACAGAGAGAGAAAAAGTGTAGGAGAGAGGAGAGGGAGGGGAGAAAGAGAGGAGTCTCCTCATAGTACAGTAAGGCAGGCAAAATAGTGAGTGACCTTGGTGCCTGCATCAGTGCACTTGGCAAGAGGGAGGTCAGGAACTAGATGGATAGTCTAACCAATGGCTCTCAAAGTGTAGCCCTACGCCAGCAATGCCAGCAGCACCAGCAATACCTGGGAGCTTTAAGCCGGGCTCGGTGGCTCAGCCTGTAATACCGTGCCTTTGAGAGGCTGAGGTGAGTGGATTGCCTGAGCCCGCGGGTTTGAGACCTGCCTGGGCAACTTGGCCAGACCTCATCTCTACAATAAATCAAAATGAGCCGGGTGTGGTAGCGTGTGCCTGTAGTTCCAGCCACTTGGAAGGCTGAGGCAGAAGGATCGCCAGAGTCCAGCAGGTCAAGGCCGTAGTGGCCGCTCCCGGTCTGGGTGACAGAGTTAGACTCCAACTCAAAAAAAAAAAAAAAAGAAAGAAAGAAATGCAAATTTTAGGACCTGCAAGTCTGTGGGGTTTGTTTGTTTGTTTGTTTGTTTGTTTGTTTGTTTTTGAGAAAGCAGGATTTATTGAGAGGACAGAAAAGCTCCCACAGTGGGAGGGAACCCGAGGGGGTTGTCTCAGTCTGTGTTTTTCACAAGCCCCAGGTACAGGCAGAAGTTTGAGAACCACTAGCCAAAGTGACAGAAACAAACTTTGGCAAAAGAGATACCTTAATAATGCCCCATTCAAGGAGCTTCTCAAACATCTCTTCTGCTGGTGTAGGAATCAGTCCCTGAGTGTGAGGTCTATTTGGTCTATAGGTCAATTTTTTTTTTCAATTATTAGAGTAATTCTTCTACAACTCCATGAATTGGGCACTTACTGTGTGCAAAGCTGCATGCTAAGCACATGCTTAGCAGATTTGCTTCTCTTGACAACCCTGTAAGTTAGGAATTATTGCAATCCCCCTTATAGATAAGGATACTGAGACATAGGCCTTGTGAAATGAGGTTACACAGTTGGTATGGAGCAGGTCCTGGGTTTGCTTGAGGCAGTTTGACTGCAGAACACTGGTCTGGAACATCTGATTACTAGAAGGTACAAGGGAGATGGTGAAGGATGGGTGGATTGATGGATGAGTGGATGAATAGATGGGAGGAAGGAAGGGGGGATAAAGAAAAGGGGTCAGAAAGAAGGACAGAAAAAAAAAGGAAGGATAGCAGCAGATTTCAGAAATAAAGATTGAATGAAAGCTCCTTCTGAGGGTGAACTATCTCCTTATACTTTTGTCTTTTTTCTGGTCTTGCATTTAAGTCAGTCAGTTCATAGATTTCAATATATTTCAGCCTGGGCCCACCCTGTATGACTTTCTCCTAAGAATTTGATTCCATTGGTAGTTTGTGATTTATTCTTCCTCATTTGTGTTTTTCTCCCTCTCTCCCTATACTCACATAATCTTTGTGACTTAAGTACACAGTTGCCCTAGTTGCGGAGGGATCCATGACTGGCTTCGTCATTGACTGGAGAATATTCTGGCAAAAACATGTCACTCTTTGGAGACTATGTGCTCAGGGGCTGCTTTGAAGCTCCTCTCTGCTTCATTCACCTTGGACTGCCTTGCTCTTGCCTCTGCTTTAATAGCATATCATTTTCCCCTCCTTGTACAGCAAAGCCACAGGGACACTTAATCTTACATTCTCTGGAGGCCTGGTGGAGGCTTGGAGCCCGATCGCAGTAATCAAGAAGGGGTGGGTGTGATCAGGGATGAGGTTTGATTCTTTGCCTGCCTCTCCACATTTAGGCTTTTCATTTTCACATTCCTCCCCATGGTTTGTAATAAACACAGGAACATAGCTCAAGGGCAGGACTGAGGTTTAACTTCAGCTGAGGTACAATAGAGGCTATTTGGAAAGTAAAACTTCCAAATAGCAGTTTAGCCTTGAAGAATATATTGAATTAGATACGCTATGAGCCCTGATTCACAATCTCTGCATAACAGCATTGCTATGTATATTACCTGGGCACTTTGGTAGACTAGAGAAATGGGCTGTTTAAAAGATGAAGTTCACAGAATCAGTGCATGTGCTGATGAAGATTGTGGGGGCAGGAGCTAGGTGCCCTTGCTTCCTGTGCTGATGGCTACTTCCTGTGAAGCCCTGACCTCTCTGAGTATTGATTTCCTTATCTGTAAAATAGAGATTACAGGAGTACCTGCCTCACTCTGTTTTTAAGAGTATTAGATTGCATAATGCCAACCACAGAGCTTCGCTTGCTGTAGTAAGTAAAAACTTAATAAATGAAAACTGTTTATATCTCTATTATATGATTATCATTCAAAGCCCTGATTCTGTAATTTAGCCCAGACTACTTCCTACTCTCTCGCTCATTCGCTTTTTACTCATGCAGTTCTCTGTTCACCAATTCTTATTTCTTGTCAGTTTCAGAGTCGCCGTGGTCACCTTTGAAGATGTGCTGTCATTTCAAAGCACTGGCTAAATACAACGAAGACTGACAACTATGAATAATTCCATAGAACCTCTAAAACACTCTGGCATTTCACTCAAACTCTCATATATGCCACCAAGTTGTTCTCTCTTGTTTTGTGCCTCTCTTTTTTCAGCAGATTTCAGATATAGTTACTGAAGATGAATATCATCTTCCTCTGAAAAATAATCCAGCAGGAACTAGTGTGGAGTAATTGGACTTCATGAGAGCATCACTGTCAAGTCTAAAAATATATGGGGAGATAATCACATTTTATTTTATTTTTTTCTTGTACATTTTCAGCACGTTCACGTCCATGTACTTCCCAGGAAGGCTGGAGACTTTCACAGGAATGACAGCATCTATGATGAGGTGGGTCTGTTCTCTCTGATCTTATTGTTTGATCACAGGGACTGTCAGTATGGTGAAATCCACCTAATGAACCAGATATCACCCTATATGTGGTCTTAAATGGGATTCCACTCGGTATGACTTGAGAAGTGACAGTAGAGGCCAAGGAGTCAAGAATGGCCGTCGTGGGAACCCAAGACAAATTAGTTATAATGATTTTTCTTTTCAAATGAAACCTAGAAGAATCCAAGTGTCCTTGTGATTTCTGCCCTTTCATTTACCAGGGCACTAAATATTTGCATGGAGATATGGTCCAGAGTCTCTTTAAAAGAAAATCTAAGTGCCACCAATGGAAATCAAGCAAATGGACGTACGATTCTTTTAGTCAAATGTTGCATTTAATATTTAAAACACTTTGGAACTCAGCTTGTCTTTTCCAATAGCATTTATTCAAAGTAGAACTTTGAATTATCATGAGCGGAAGCCAGGTTGGTTTGAATGATATAAGTGTAGCCCATGTATCATAAATATTTTAGCAGTTAATTGATTTCTGGATACTCCCATTTAAAGTTATAAATGTGAAACCACTATAAACATAAATCAGCAAGAACCAGGTGATATGTTCCTAGGGTCTTGTCACATGAGAACCTTCAGATGTCCCTCTCACTATGTGGAGCTTATAGCCTATGATGGATCATGGTGGTATAAAACATAAGATGATTTCAAATTACCTACTTATTGAAACCCAGGAGGGGAAAATATATTCCCCACATGTTAGAGCTGATCAATGGTACTAGCACTTTAGAGTGATTGGTTGAAAGGGACTTTGGGGCAACCCCTTTGAGTCTCCTCCCACTGTGGGAGATTCTCTGTCCTCTCAATAGATCCTGCTTTCTCACTAAAAAAAAAGAAAAAAGAAAAAGAAAAAGAAAATAAAAGAACTTTGGGGCTGTTTCTGAATACAACAAGGAAAATTGCTGTGATTCATTACCAATGCCCCTAGTGGTGTCAAATTGGAAAGAGGTGCCATATTTTCCATCTACTTGACATTCCTGTTCTATCTCTTTGAGAATAATATTAAAAATATATTTTTTATCTTGGTTGCTTCTCATGTGGCTCTACCAAACCTACAAATTATCTCTTCCTGAGTTCTAGGGACCCAGATAGAATCCATATACCCTTTTTTGTGTCTATTGGGGTTCTTTGTAGTAATTGAGTATTAAAATGGCAACCCTGAAAATAATGAATGACAGGGTCAATAGTCTTGTAATTAATTTTTCTGGGACTCACTAGATTATGTGACGTGACTGGCTATTATGCTTTTAGGATATTCCTTACTATCTTGTGCTTCCTGTGTTTTCCAAGAGCTGTGGCAGACCTGTGTAGGACGAAAATAGTTTAGTCACTGGTACCTAAGTGCTGATTGTGAACCAGTTGCTGCGAGCCTCAGTTTTCAGGAGGTCCCATCCCTAGAGTTTGTGATCCAGTAGATTGCACAGGCACTCAGGAATCAGTAATTATATACATACAAGAAAATCCCCAGGAGATTCTGATATATAACTAGGCTTGAGAATAGGCTGTCTGCCAAATCTGGGTTTTCCAAAGCCGTATTCCATAGTACTGTAATTTGAACTCATTTTCATTGGACGTAGAATGAAGCTTGGAGTTGGTAAGGGTTTAGTTCACACTGGAAGAAAATTAGAATTATGGAATAATTATAAAGAGATGCAATTTTACAAAATACAAGTACTGATCTTAATAACATAAACTAAGGTTAATAAAATGTTGCCAAATACAGGCTATTTTAATGAATAAATTAGCACATGATTTATATACAAGTGAATACTGCTAAAGTGATATGAAAAGTGCCTGAAAACACTGGTTTCTTAGGCTTAACAGTCACCTTGAAGTCTTGTTAATGTTCCAAATGTGCTCATGACAAGCTTGATGAATACATTTCAGCCCAGTTTAAGACATGATATCTAGTGGCGTGGTTGGTGTGTGGCCTTTCTCCCCTTTCTTATTCTTTTGCCCTTGCATGTATGCTCTGAGGGTATCTATAGCCCTACAGATAAGACAACACATCTCAGGAGAAGTAATTACTATAAGTATTCTTTTGTTTCCCCCCAGTCAATGAGTAAGTCACATGTAACCATTAAGGGAGATTGTGGCACAAGACTAGGAAGAGATTGAACTCTGAAAACAGGCAGAATTAAGTTCAAAACCCAGTGCCACCTACTAACCATGTGACATTGAGCAAGGCACTGAACCTCTGTGTCTTAACTACCTTTTCTTTAACATGGAGATAATAGTACATACTACTTCAAATGATTTTCATATATATATGATATGACATACTGTAGCTGGAAAGCTTATTTGGGACTTGGTACATGCTAAGAATTTTTTAATATGTAGTTTTTCTTCTGTTCTTATTGTTATCATTATTAGTTTATTTTTAAAAATAGCAATAGTGGACAAATGGAGAACCAGATTCAAAGCCAGGTCATTAGATGTTTCCATCCAGCATTCTTTCCAAGGGGTAGATTTCCAAATTTTTCTCTTCTTTAACCACTCATTCTGTTTCATCTTCCTCTTGGTATAAAAATGCTTCTCCAGCTTGAGTACATAATAAGATAGTGTCTAGAAAGAGGCATGAAAAACATGAAGCATCGCACAGGCATTATTGATACAAGATGTAATGTACATTAGACTGAGCGATCTTAATCAGAAATGATGGAACAAGAAGGACGGCATTCTTTATATTGATGGGAGCACTTGCTCTACATTATGCATCTGTTCACGACATTCAACAAACAGACTGCCTTGGAGGGTGGGAGGTGGGAAACAGTAACAGCAGGAGACTGGGTTAGATAAAATGTAACTGTATTTCTCCTGCTGCACACATAAACAATGATGCCTAAAGATGCCCTAGGTTATAAATCAGCCAAGAACAGTGTGTTCTCTCTGGGCCTTCTTTTTTCTAAAAAAAAATTTTTATTTTAAAGATGTGGGGTACAATTCAGGGTTAGGTACACAAATGATCATCGTACAGGTAAAGTTTGGGCCTCACTTTGGTCTCCACTTCACCTGGTTTGAGATCAAGCACTTTTATAGATGAAGTATGCTCCACCACCAGCAGTTTCCCATTACTGTCAATCCCTTTCTTATAGTATTATGATAATTGTTCAGGGTCCACTTATGAGTGGGAATATGTAGTACTCAGTTATCTTATCTGTGATAGATCACTGAGTATTACAGACTCTACGTCCATTCAAGTTGCTGCAAAGTTCATAATTTTGTCCTTCTTTATGGCTGCATAATATTCCATTGTGTATATGTACCACATTTAAAAAATCCAGGCTGCTTTCGATGGGCAGCACAGTTGGTTCTGTGTTTTTGCTTTTGTGAATAATGCTGTAATAAACATGCATGTGCAGGTATCTTTTTCATAGAGTGATTTGGGTTCCTCTGGGTATATCCCCAGAAGGGGGATTGTTGGGTCATATGGAAGGTCGATTTTTAGATCTTTTAGGAATCACCACACTATTCCCTCAGAGGTTGTACTAGTTTACACTCCCACCAACAGTGTACACTTCCCTTTCCCTGTATCCTCTCTAGCATCTGTTGCTTTTTAAGTTATTGATGATGGCCATCCTGACTGGAGTTAGGTAGTATCTCAGTGTGGTTTTAATTTGCATTCCTTTGATAATTAGTGAGGCTGAGCATAAAACCTCAAACTGTAAGAAGCTCAGAAAATGCAGAAGACACCCTTATAGAAATTGGAACTGGCAACCAATTCCTGATCAAAACTCCAAATGCCCATGCCATAAGTGATAAGATAGATAAGCGGGACCTCATCCAAAAAAAGCTGCTACAAAGTAAAATAAACCATCAAGAGAGTGAGGAGACAGCCCACGGAATGGGAAAAGATATTTGCCAACTGTATATCTGACAAAGGCCTAACATCTAGGATCTACAAGGAACTCAAATGTGCTGAAAAGAAACAAACTGCCCTATTAAAAAGTGGGCAAAATATATGAATAAACACTTCTCAAAAGAAACATACGGGCCTTCTTTTAAGAGGAGATAGTGGCAAACTAAAGAAGGTTCGCAAGAAAGGTAGTTTGGTCTAAAAATAGAGATTTGGGGAGTAGTAGATGGTGGGAATATTTTGTCTAGAGAAGGGAAGACTTGTAGAGGGAAGATAGTAACAGAGTCACTGTTTATAAATATGTGAAGGGCTGGCAGGTGGAGAGGTATTAAATATATTTTGTGTGTCTCCAGAGGGCAGATCTGGGGTTATCAGACTACAAGGAGGCAGGTAGATGCTCTACATAATACAGGTCAAATTGAGAAAAACTTGTAAACCTTGCAAGGGGGTGAGCTTCTCACCCCTGGATCTACTCAAACACATTGTAGGTGACTATGATACTTAAGAGGATGACTATATTCCTGTCTCATGGTCCATATGGTTCTGCGGTTCCTGTCTTTACAAATCTGACCCATTTGATCATTACCTTCATTTTCAGATGATACAAGTTCTGAAACAGATAGTGTTTTTTGTTATTAGTATTACAGCATTTGAGAGACCATCTAAGAAAACATATATATATATATTTAGTTCATGGAAATATAAAGTATAGCTCTTTCTTGTCTTACAGGAGATCATACTCTATTGATTTTTTTTTTTTTTCATTCCCAGCCTTTTTGCTTTCCTCTAGCTCAGCATTGCATATTGATGGTTGTTGGGCCTGGCTTGGGCCTCCTGATGTGTGTTTTATTTTTACCTGAAAAGTAATTTTAATAATGTGTTTTATTTTGCCTTTAAAGTATTTTTTAATGAATCTGAATGCTGTTAGGCATGTCACTAATTTTTCTTTTTTTTTTTTTTTTTTTTGAATTGGAGTCTTACTCTGTCGCCTAGACTGGAGTGCAGTGGCTGCTCCCGGTGCTGGGCTCCAGCGATCCTTCCAAGTCAGCCTTCCAAGTAGCCAGAATTACAGGCATGTGCTACCACGCCC